GAGGTGGCCGCGGGCAGCCCCTTGCGCGGAGACCACCCAACGGCCGTCTCCGCGGAGCGTAAGTCCTCGCTTAAAATGGCCATCCGGATTCCTGGGGGCCGACCTAGCGGCAGTTCTAGCGGTGCTTGCCGAATACCCGATAAAAATGTATGTGTACTAATGTTTAATGCAACCAAAGGCGATCCAGAAACATTACCCGCCTGGGTGAGGCGGAGCGAGGGTATCGGGTAGCCCGGCTCTTCCAGCACGGGCTGCGTGTGTGTGGTGATGGGCAAAGTCGTTAAAAATAGGTGTGTTTTCTCCTCTTTTGAAAGGAGGGTTGCTTACCTCTTGGGAGGAAATTTGCTGCTGTGCAGATGCGGAGCGTTACTGTGATGAAATCCCAGCACAGCAAAACGCGGGGGAAACTTAGCTTTTGTCTGCGCCTCTGTTTCTTCCTCATTAAAAACACCCACCAAAACTTGAATGAAATATCTTTACAGTAAGCCCAATAGATTATTTTCCATTTTTGCACATTGGAATTTTAGCTTACATAAAAATCTCCGTGTCTGCTAGAACCGCTTGTGCTGTGAACTTTGTCCATGTACTTCAGCAACTTGGCTTTCTCTCTAGTTAATGTGCGGTGTACACGGGCAAAATTAAATCAGAGAGAAATTAGGTGGCTCCCCTGCAGTGGCCGTGTGATGTGAGATTATGGCCACACCTAATATACTTATAGTGTAGGCTTTTAAAATGTAAATAACTTGTGTATTGATAAGGTAAATTATCTAAAAGTTTAAACATTTTAAAAATGTTTTAAGACAGTTGGATTATTCAATTTCTTGTTTTAAAAAAAAGACCTTTGGAAAATGCATTATCTTCAGAATTACCCAATAATATTTGTACGTTTAGTGTTTTAATTCACATGCCAAAAATTAAATGAATAAGAGCGCACAAATTTATTATTTTTATCGACTTCCTCAGAAAGACAAATTTAGACGAGTTCATAAGAACTGGCATAAGGGATATAATCACAGAAAGGTTTATGTCTTCAAAGCATCAGTGTTGGTGTTAGGTGACGCTATCTGAACTGGGTGTAAGAGAACAGTGGCTGAAGTTAGAAGTTGCCGTACTTCAGACTCATGCTACGTGCTAGGTTGATCAGTTGAGCATCTTGTATGTGTTAGCATCAGGAACATAATCGACATGACAATACATTTGTACAGTGGAAGGATATATTTTTATGAACAGTTATATTAATTTCTAGTTAATAAGTGGCAAATCAAAGTACAGACTGGCTAAAAAACTTGCCCGAGGTCACTTAAGCAGTCTTTGGCAGAGCTGAAGATAAATTGTACAATCGTTGTGAATCCTAATGTGTGATCATATTTCCTCCTGCTTTCTGTTCACAACATTTTTATGAACATAGCTATTTACTTTGTTTACAGAATCGATAGTTTCTTGAATAAGCTAGAGAGTCACTTGGGCTACAAAGATGTTGGAAGAAGATATGGAGGTGGCCATCAAGGTGGTGGTAGTAGGAAATGGAGCTGTTGGAAAGTCCAGTATGATTCAGCGATATTGCAAGGGGATTTTTACAAAAGACTACAAGAAAACTATTGGTGTAGATTTCCTGGAAAGACAAATCCAGTATGTATTAAACAGATGCCATACTATTGATTTTTACCTTTCCTTCTGTTTCTTTGTTCTGTTGTAATCCTAAGATTTACAAAGGCTTGAAACAAGGCCTGCTGTCTCCAAAGCACGGTAGAGGGAGTTGTTTTCTCTCTTGCACAGTGGGCTAAAATTATATCACTCTATTTTCCATACAAGATTTAGCAAAATAAAATTTGGAACCTCTGTCATACTAAGCAAGTTCCCTTTGTATTCTACCACCTGTTGATTTTTTTTTTTTTTTAATTTCTGTAGAGGAAGTGGAAGTGCTTATGATAAAACAATTACGCAAATTTATTAGCCAATATAGATTAAAATGACTGGGAAAAATAATTAAATATGCTATAGATTTAGTCTCTTTATGTAATATAAGCAGATAATACCCAATTATGTTTGATAAAATGGAGAATGCTATGGTAATGAGAAGTAAGAAAATTCTATAAATTTTGTAAGCTGATTAAAAAGACAAAAATACCATTATTCAGGCATCTAAGTTTTGTTTTGAAGTCTATATTGTTGTTCCTCATAGAGGGAAATGCAGAGGAAGAAGAGGAAAGGAAGGGGAAAATGTAATATGGATTGTCAGGAAAGAGCATGTAATGTAATTGAGGGACTACTGCCATTGCATGTTACAGAGGTGAACCATTATCAATATTAAGTTACGTTATATTTAAATGAAGTTAAATTTGAACTGAATTACTCTTACATTGTAGACATAGAAATATTTCCATGTCAGTTGTTTTGAATTGCTCGTGTTTGTTGTATTGATTACAAAACTGTCTTTTATTTCAGAGTTAATGATGAAGATGTCAGGCTAATGTTATGGGACACTGCGGGTCAAGAAGAATTTGATGCAATAACTAAGGCCTACTATAGAGGTGAAAATACCATGTTTGTTATTTAGCAGGTTTTGGGTTTTTTTTTGGTCTGCACATCTCCAAGATATTTTCCTATCTCTGTGTTAAAAATTTGAGTTATTTTGTGTGTGTGCAAAGCATTATTAGTTCACCTTTTTCAGTTCTTAAATGTTTTTCCCCTTCATGTAAGATCCTTGCCTTAATTGTTGCTTTATGCAGGATGCTCACTAGTGCCCTTTAAAAAACGTAGGACAAAATGAGACAAATATCTGCACAGAAACTGCACAGAATGTAGCCATTCAGACAGTCAAACGCAAAATTATATTTTTCCCTCTAAAAGTGTTTTCTTACTTTTGTAAGACATATATCTGTAAATGTTCCAAAAACTATGGCTGAAGCACTTAGAAATTAATCCAAGGGGAAAAAAAATCCGCCAGTCATCCTACAAGGATAGTTTACTAGGCACAACAGTTCTCTTGCTAGTACAGGCTGCCTTGAACACATTAACACAATGGAGTAATAAGGAAAGCGTATTTACTTCGTAAAATAGAGACTATATTATCAGTCATGTAAAAGTAGGTTATCTATTTAGCCAGTTACAAATTGCATACTCAGGCTTTCTTTGCATATAATTTAACAATGGTTAAAACAAAGGAAAACCTTTCCTTTTTGTTTTTTAACTTGAGAGATATGAATGACTTGGCAAAGACTCCATCAATCAGTTCTTGTCAAACTGATTTCCTGATGGCTGGGAAAAATATATTGCTATGGTATAAAATCTTAGAAAAATTACCTCATTTAGAGATAAAATAATAGTTATGCTCTGCTATTTCAGGGTGGTATAGTCCTCTGACCTTCTTATATTTCGTGATTGTTTTTGGCAACTAATAGGGTTGTTTTTTTTTTTTTACTACTTCTGGTTGTCACTTGTAATTAATGATTACCATTCCTTCAGAGAAAGATATTTCTTTTCCTATTTCTTTTTATCCTCATGTGGAAATAGATCGTTCTGTTGTTTTACAGCTGACAAGTTGAGCATATGAATTTTAGAAGGTAGTACTTGATTCTCTTGGAGCTTCCTTTTTACTCTCCTGGCCATCAGTTCTCTTGTGTGCTTTGCTCTCCTCAGTTGTTCCAAGGCAAAATCTTTTTCTCCTAATTACTGGCACTGATATGCTAAAATATGGAGTGTTCAGAAGAACTTCAAAGTACACTTACTGGCCTCACTTAGCACATATCTTGAGTATCCTGAAATCTTGCTCATAACTCGTGCCCAGCATAGTGCGGTTAGATCTCTACCTTTGAGATCTTTATACTGAAGAGGCTGCTGTGAAATAGGACATAGTCATCCTGCGGATACACATTGTGGACGGCATGATGGATAGATTAACAGTTCAAGCTATTAGATACAGTGTCTATTCTGCACTAGACTGACTCGTGAAGGACAAGGGAAATTATAAGAGCCTGGAATGTCATTTTGGTTTAGCATCAGGTCTGCAAGCACAATATTATAGAAGCAAGAGGTCAACCTTACTTTGGAAATGCAAGGATTTCATTGCCAATTACTGCTGATAAGGGGAGGATGCCTCTAAGGAGGTAAGGTAGGTGCTGGCTGTTACTTCAAGGTCTGCTTCTCCCACACGTCACTGTTCCACTATCATTACACTAGGGCTTACATACTCTCCTGGAACCTTATGTATTGTCAGTTCTTCAGGGATCAGCTGCTCATGCATGGTCACACGATGAATGCTTCAGAGCCTGTTTCTCAGCTCTTCTTGTCCAGGGACCAAATTCATTCAGCCTTGCAGGGAAACAAAATTGGAGCTGACAGTGGATTTGTCATGTGGTTTTCTATGTACAGGCGAGTATGCGCAGCCGGTGTAGCTGCATGCCCGTAATCATATAATGCAAGGAGTCCAGCAGCCTAAATTCAAAGAGTTAGAGGAAGCTCTGTATGTATTTAATAATTTCTTGTATTGTATCATGCATCTTACCAGTTTCTATCCGATGGAAGTCACACATTTTCTAATTGGCTAGGTAACTTCATTTATATGCTAAGCACATACACAAGTGGCTGTCATTAGCAGCACGATGTGTTCTGTCCATGTTACAGATGTTTCTCAAAGCACTATTTGATAACTTAGTCGTGCGTGCAACCTCTTCCATCTGCTACCACTGATCTCTTGAGTTAGGTCTTTGATGGAAAACAGGCATCTTGCCCATTAGTCTGTTACTCAGTTGCTGATTAGCCAAATTCTCAGGCTCCTCATTTTGTTGCATAATAATTAGACTTCATATTTCTCAATTCTTCATAGCATTGCTCTAGCTTGCACTTGTCAACCACTTTCGGCTGTAGTAACTGTAATAATGGGAGGGCTGCAAGACTGTTCTGGTCCGATTTGGAGCAAGGCAGCCCTCTTTTGGATACTGTTAGTGAGACCTTAAACCCTGCTAAGTCTGTTGAAGGCAGCCAGTATCCACAGCAGTTAGAACATCAACAGTAAACAAGAACTTCTGGATGATGCTATCATTTGACCTTGCATTTTATCTCAGTTTAAGGTTGAAGGAGCCACCATCAATTTTATAGTGAACGTGTGTTTTCTGTCATAGCCTGAAAAAGCTGAGGCAAAGAATAGAAGAGTGAAACGAATAGGTGCCAAGTATAACACCCTTGTGAGTCCACTCATGGCAAGGAATATCTTTACATATTTTCTATTACATAGGCTTTGTACCATTATGAAAGGAGAAAATACGGTTACAGAGCCTGCGAGGGTGGGATACTCTGCTGAGGATCTTTGAGACCTACTCAGCTGACCAGCTCATGCTCTGTTTGAATCAAGTAGAGATGCTAGCACTACTCTCTTAAGTTTTTTCTGAATTAGTCTAGGTATGAATATCATATCAGTGATTCTGCAGCCAGTTGGAACCTTTTTAAAATAAAGATACAGGGGTTATCAAAGCAGTAATTGCATACAAAAAAATCCAGTGTCCTTGTCTTCAGTACTTTAAAATAGCTTTACAAAACAGCTTCTTAAAAAAGAACTTTGATTTAAAATATTCGTCAAGAACACCCTGGTTTTAGCTGTTATGCTCCTGTCTGACATTGTCCTGTGCCTTTGCTGCTGGTGTCTGTTGTTGTACACAATCTGTTGTATGACAAAGGTGGTGTATGACTCCATTTGGAGTAGATGAGTGAGATGATAATGTTATTGACTCCTGAGTACTATCAGTCTCTGCATACAGAAAGGTGTTTCAGTGCCTAAATCCTGGGTTTTGTCTTTTTTTTTTTTTCTCCTTAGAGCTCCTACATGGACATTATAATTTCTTAAACTTGTTTATGTTCTCAATAAAAGTGTTGAGTATTTAGCAATATTCTTAGAAGATGAAAAGAATTTACCTAGTAGGATCTCTTCCCTGCAGCATCTTCTGGTGAACTTTGTTGCCATACTAACTTCTGCGCTATACTGAAGCGTACTTTCAGAAAGATCACATTTGATATTGTTTTGAATTGAGCATGAGAAGAATACTCCTTTTGTTCTTCTCTTCTTAAATAAGCATTTTGCAGGGTTATTGGATTAATAAATTTTGATATTTCTTGCATCCAGTGATCAAAACCTTCAGCAGACATTTGGAAATACACAATTACATATAGAATATATAGAGAGAATTTGTCATTGTTGATATACAGGTATATCTGCTGATAAGGAAAGACACTTCTGTTTACTGTTGTTTGTTAACTTCCTGGTAAGAACCTTTAAATGTCAGAATCTTGAAGGTCCTCAAAAATACTTCAGTTTGATTCCTTATCAGAGCTTATTGTGTAATTCTCTTTAAAAAGCAATATGGCCAAACGGAGCTATTTTTACTGTCCCTGTCCACTGCATTCTACATGTATTATATCTGAATTGAATAAGGAGGTCTGATGTCACCCCCTTTTTGCCTACCACATGGTAGGACTTTTCCCTCTAAACTTACTATTACTAAGTTATCTCTGTGTTTTAGCATTCAGAAGGAATGGGTGGAAGGAGAGTGATGAAGTGAAAGTGCCTTAGAGTGGAAACTTCACAATGGATTTCTTAGTCTTAAAACTGAACAAGATGATGTTTACAGATGGTGAGAGTCTTTTAATAAATATTCTCATCTCCAGTAGAGCAAAGACCTTGAGAGGCTTTATTAAGCTAGACTGTGAGACAACAGGTTAAATTCATCATTGACAAATGCAAAGTAACCTACTTTGGAAAGAATAAGCCGGCCGCGTTAAGCCACAACAATTTTACACCTATCTCACAGGATTCTAAGTGGAATTGCATCAGAAGAATTGCATACATTAGAATATGGTGTGGACATTAGGGAAAACAAGCAAAATTTTAGAACACAAGTAATGGGAAAAATTATGGAAGACTACATTGCTACTGTTTTATTGGTAGAGCTTGATTAGTAATTCTGAGGGCAGTTCTTATTGTTCTGTATAAAACTGTAGAAGGGTCTTAATGGCATAGGAAAACTTTTGTAAAGATAGACTGAACTTGGCTTTGAAAAGATAAATAAAAGGAAACCTAAGAAAAGAACTCGAGTGCTTTGTGTCAAAGAAATACAAAGAAAAACAGAATACAGGAATGGGGGATACTTGGTAAAACTCATAGATAAAAGAAAATTCATACTGCTGAAATAATTTTTCATGCTATATGTAATTAGATTGGAATATTCGCCACAAGATAACACTGGAGTCTCAAAGATACCACCTATCTATTCCTTTTACACTGTTACTATATATCAAGTATATTAAAGGCATATAAATAATAAAGTGTTTCTCCATGTGTTTATGTGCAAAGAAAAGTAGTTTCTTGAGGGTAACAAAGGGCTACTGGACAGTCAAAAGATCACTCACTTAATATTTCAAGTGTTGAAGTACCTTCTCAGTATCCATGGGTTTTAGCTATTGTTTGCTAAGATTGTTACAAAACCATAACAAAAATGGTACAAAACATTTTGTATAATTTATCATAGTGCTGTGATAAAATGAATATGAATTAGAAATACACTTATTTTCTCCAAAAAGCTACTAAACAATTTACTTGAAATAATCTCAACTTTCTCTGAAAAGTTTTCTGCGTTTCAAAATCCAGGTTACTGTAGCACAAAGAATAATGTCAAGTGTGCTTTACAGATACTGCATACGGAAAAATATTTACCTTCTGGTCTCCATTAAGCTGTCTGGAAAACTATGAGCAATAAGCAAGCCTCCCTTTCTGTTTTTCCAGCCATTCCACACCTCCTTCCATTCCTTTCCCCTGCATACATGCACCATGCTGGAAATAGCTTGAAAGGTAACAGACCCATAGCCATCATGAAGAATGAGTATAATGATCAAAATAATATGGCAATCTATTTTCATTTGTGGAATTTATGACCATTGGTTTGACACAAGCTGGTGGTAAAAGTGCACTTTTATGGGAGAAACTTGAAAAATCCCTCATATTTGAAATACATTATATATGATGCTTTTTTTTTTAATGTTTGTTGGTTGATTTGTATTTATTTGTATTTGTAATTGATTTGTGTATTTTTAGGAGCCCAGGCTTGTGTTCTTGTGTTTTCTACAACTGACAGAGAGTCCTTCAGAGCAATCCCTATCTGGAAGGAGAAAGTGGTGACGGAAGTTGGAGACATTCCCACAGTTCTTGTGCAGAATAAGATCGATCTTCTTGATGACTCTTGTATAAAGAAGTAGGAGTTTTATCTTACTGTTTTTAAAGAACAATATATGCCCCCTGTATACACACGTTTTTAAAAAACAAACAAACAAAACTGTCGGAGTTTCTGGTGAAGACTTGCGATATCTAGGTTGTCAAACCTATGCTCTGCATCAAAATGTGCCCTAGAACCACAGGTGACAGGTATTGCTGCATGAGTGTAGTTACTTGGCCAGATGTGCTTGCCAAGCTAGGAGCTTTCTGTTTGCTTCACGCCTCCTTCTGAAGTGTCAGCCAAAAAACCAAGAGGAATAGCATGAAGAGTTTGGTTGTGCCATGATATGATTCTCTTTTTTTTTTTTTTTTTTTTTTAAAATCAGAAATTCTAAAACTAAATTTTCTCTCCTGTTAAAATGTACAGTTACTGTTAAACTGTGCTGTGCACCAGTGAAGTTATCTTGTCTAGTTTGGCTAGTGAATGCTTGCTAAAATGACGAAGAAGTATTAAACAGGTTGTTTGAAAAAGTGTCTTAGTATTCTTTGCTTCGCTTTTCTTTAATTTGTTTTTATTGCTCATTTTTAGCAAAACGTTATACCTCCATAGAAATACGTATCTGTTAATGTTCTCAAACTGCATGGTGCTGATCCTTCTTCAGTATATTTTTCTTTGCAGATTTTACTGTCAGTTCATTCTGCCTTTGTATGTATGACCAATTTCATTCTTGCCATAAAATCAGCTTAACAAATGCTAACTTTTATTTACCTCAGCATATCATGTAGAAAATATTGCATGATGAAGTTGATCATTCTCCACATCTTTACTGCTACCATCTTCTTGAGAGATTTAAATTATTTCTTCTTTTTGTTGTTTCCTGCACTGGCTTTCTTTGTTCTCTGTTTGCTATCATTGATGGCATAAATCAGCTTCTACTACTCCTGCAAAGAATACTGAGAATCTTTCAAAGGAAAAGCAAAACTGCATTTGAACTCCTTCTTTGTTCATGGTACATCACTTAGGTTTTGCTCTCAGAATACTCCATCTGCCTCAGTAACTTCATCTTTCTGATGACATGATTTGCCTTGGTGAAACTTCCATGAGTTTTGTCAGCTTTTCCTTAAAATTTAGCACAAGTTCTCTTTCACTTCACAGAAAAAAGCAATTCTTGATTTCATCGCTGCACTAATCTGGTTGCATAGTCTACTGCTTTATTAAAATATACTTAAGGATTACTTTTTTGTTGTTGTTTTGACTTTGCAGTGGTAATTGTTCTGATTCTAGTGCTGTTAATTACAGCCTCCTTCCTTCTGGTTTCACTGACACCTGTCTTCGAACCCTTGGGAAATTTTATTTAATGAAGTCAATAAATATTGAAAAGCTATTGCTTTTGGTCATAAAGAAACTGCATGTAAAGTACCTTGTTATAGTGGAGATACTGTAAAGAAATTAAGGATCAGGTATTTTTTGACTGAGTTTCTTAATCCGCCTTGCCATGTTTAACTTACCATGAAGCATTTTGCTTAAGAGAATAAATGCTGACAAATAATACAAATCAGAATTTACAAAGTCTTCTTCTGTTGTGCAGTGAAGAGGCAGAAGCACTGGCAAAAAAACTAAAATTAAGGTTCTACCGAGCATCTGTGAAGGAAGACCTAAACGTAACTGAAGGTACGAGATACAGCAGAGTAGGTGTCTGTCCTGCCCGCAGCTGTATAGCACTGTACATCTCTCTAGTTTGGAGCTGATCTGTTACTTCCCATGTTGTTGCATGCTGTTGGCAATCCTTTTTGTATTTCTTAGCAGCACACTTTAAACATAGCTAGAATTACTTGGTATCAGTGTGTTAGGCCCGTTTCTTTGTGTACATCTTTCCTTTCTCTTTCACAAACAGTGCATAGCTTCGATATTTAGAAGTGCCAATGTGTTAAGGCTGCTTAGTTCTAATGGCTGTCAGTAAGCACTGAGCTTTTAAAAAAATCATATGTAGAAGTTAAATTATTACAGTAAACAAAATGTTGGACAGATTATTTTGTAATTGTTAATAAATAATTGATATAAACAATTATTTCAGAGTTTAGTTATATTTAAAGTACGTGAAAAGATTGGATCTCTTGTAGTGTTTTTTCTGCCGATGATATTTTACTAGTTCCCAAGTATCACTTTTTGATGTGTATATTTAATTTAATAAGAGTACTGTTATAAAATTCAGTCACTATCTTTAGTGGGGTAGGTTTGAATAATCATGAATTGTAGTCTCTGATAACTCGTGTTTTGTTTAATCAGGCAAACTTAATAGTAAACTAATTGTTTCTCCTCCGTTAACATCATTCACCGTGGAAAAAACATCTACAAGGGAAAATGTAAAGTGTTTCTGTGTCATTTTTACATGAGTTATTAATTACAAATGTAAATAATCGTAACATACATAGGTTCTGAAAATTCTCCTATAGTTGTAGATTTTTTCAAAATCCTAGGTAGACTTTCTATACCCGAATACAAATGTGGGTAGCATTAGTTAATTATAAAAATGTTGCTGCCAAGTTTTATTAATGGCCTTACTTTACATGACTGCTATTATTCTAAGGCTTCTTGTTAAAAAAAAAAAAAAAAAAAAATTAAATTCCTATGTAATTTTAAAAAGTTCCAAGCTGCATGAATCGGAACATTTGGCGATATGTATGTGCCAGCTTTATTATTGAGATGTTTCTGTCTGCTGTGTAGGATCCTAGTACTGCAAACTGTAAGACTTGGGTAGACATCGGACTAATCTGGATTCTGCTCAGGTACACAGGCCTGCCGAGAGAGAATCACTTAACCAGATTGTGCTAAACCTGTGGTGTCAAATGCACTTTTGTCACCGTGGAGAATTTTGATACAAAGGTATTATTATTGATATGAAGATTATTTTTAAGCATACTCTGATGTACCTTTTTTTCTTTTTTAACATTTCAGTTTTTAAGTATTTGGCTGATAAATATCTTCAAAGGCTCAAGCAACAAACAGCTGAAGATCCAGAACTAGTACGTACAAGCAGTAACAAGATTGGTATGTATACTGTAATAAAAAACCAGAAGTCAGTGTTTTGTGCCATCAAAGCTTATGGTCTCACCTGTTTTCTTATGGAGTTAATACGAGGTGAATCAGGGTCTAATTACTACCTTCCTATCTGAGGATACTGCCTCCTTTCCTTCTCTTACCTCCACAAAGTAAAATAACTTTGTGACTCTAAAGTTACAAGATTGTCAAATTGATGTACTGGAGTTTCTAGCTAATGTTTGGCAAGTGCCCTTTTATTAAATTTGTTTAAACAAACATTGTGTAAGGACTTGAGAAAGGATGCTTGTTGGGTTTTCCAATGTCATTAGTATTAGTGTTACTCATCTTGGTGCGGATTTACAAGAGACTCATGGTGAAAGAATCTGGCATGTAATCAGAAGGTCTTTGTAAACTGCCTTTTGTAAGGGAACACTGAACTTCTGTAGTCCTTCTTTAAAGCATTTCTGAGTCAGTTCATTTATTTTCCTTAAAGCACTCCCTTTTTATTCAGGCTTTTTCCTTACCTTTATCTCAGCAAAGTTTCTAACTTTAGAATAGTCATGTTTTTCTTTTATTATGTTACTCAACTAGCCATAACTTTGTTACCATGCAATTAGTAACATACACATACGCAGATGTGTGCATATGCTGCCTTTCAATTATGTAGATGTATACTAGCTTTAAGTACTGCCTGGCTAATAATTCCAACTGGCTCTAGTTCAAAAATTGACCCAGAAACAGAGAAAGCCTTTAAAAACTGGAGTATGCATTTGAAGTGCACTATTATGCCTTAGTGTTGTGTCTTAAGTGTCAATGTACTATGCTTGCAGGAAGTAAAGAAATACAAATACTTTTCTTGTCTTTAAATTCTGTAGGTGTTTTTAATACAGCTGGTGGAAGTCACTCCAACCAAAATTCTAGCACTCTTAATGGTGGAGATGTCATCAACCTTAGACCAAACAAACAGAGGACCAAGAAAAACAGAAGTCCTTTTAGCAACTGCAGCATACCTTAGACCACTTTCGGAGGGAAAAAACCAACCCAGTGAATTGGATGAAATTGTGCAATTGAGTACAGAATAAAGCCAGCTGTAGAGGTATTTTTACCAGTGCTTTAGCAAATCTTGTGCCTATGGGGTCCTTGATAGAGGGTGGATTTAGATAAACTTGCTGATGCAGTGTTTTTTGGTGTGTAGAGTGAGACACCTGGTGGCAAAACAGAGCCGTGGCTGCCCCGTGCACTTTGTAAAAATTAGGCAAGCTTCTCCTTTTTCAAGGAATTATTTACAGAGCTATGAACTACGTATTGCTGAATTGCAAAGCACATTTAACCTACGGATAATACTTACAAGTATAGGTACAGACCATATCACTATGGCCCAAGGTAAAGCAGCAATTTTGCAGCTAAATTTCAAAGGAAATGTTAGAATTGGTTAGTCAGGACACTAAGAAGATAAATGAAGAGTGAAAAGAAGACACTACATTTTATGCCTGACTATATTAATATGGATTCTGGCAGTTCTGTCAGTGCAATATACTTGTATTATATATATGAGTGCTAAGGTATATATGTAAACATTTGGTATGAATATGTAGGCTAAATTCCAGTGTATACGTTACTTGGAGATCAGCTAATGATCATAAAATAGCATCTTCCAAAAAAAATTTTCCTTTAAAAATGTTGCATTTCAGATGAGGCTTTCCCAGCTGCCACTGTGTACATTTAACTTGCTATACTTTGGGCCTAAAAGCTTAGATTTAAAAACGTGTGGTGCCAAAAATGCTCCTTCTTTTTACCTGATGCTGTGCTACAGATGTTTTTGTAAGTTTGTTTTTCTCAGTCTTAACAGGTTGAACAAATAACACAGTCTTTGACACTAATAGCTATTCAGAAGGAACATATAATCATATTCCTGTTCAAATTTGATTGTTGTATCCTGTGTTGTCTATGAAAAAGGAACTTGCAAAGTGGTGTCACAAAATATTTATCTTTGGAAAAATTTTTCATAGATAGGTTAAACTAAGTTATGGAGGATCCAAAAAATTGCAGCTGATGACTGAATTACATTAATGAGACATTCTTGAATGTCGTCTCAAATTCAAAGTTAGCTGCTGGTTGCAGAAAATCTAATTCTGCAAGATCAGAGACATGGCAAAAATTTTTCAAAGTGCTTAAGTAATTTTACAGAATTGATTTAGATGTTTAGGAGCCCAAACCTAAATTAAAGTTATTTGGGCTTAGGCTTCTAAATCACTAAGGTGCTTTTAAAAATGCTAAGCAAGATATCTTTTATTTACCAAAAATAAACACTTTTTAATCCTTTTCAAGAGCATGCATGCCTTCTAAAAAATATCCATTTTGTTTACATGTTTTTGTATGGTATGATATAATTTTAACTTTCTAGGATTTCTACAACAAACCTGCCGGTGACAAATGCAAAATATGCTGCTTGAAAAAATTCAGAGTTTTAATAGTTTTTTAAATAGTGTATGAGAATGACAATGAGTCGAGTGATCCTGTATATTTTTGGAAGAAGGACTTTTCACTGTGTGAATTAATGTAGGAAGCTTGACTTACTTTGTTTCTAAGTCAATGAGTATGAAAACTGAAATGTACTCTTTTTCCCACTGTCTGCAGGGAGAGAAGTGGGTGGCAAGTTATGCACAAACACTAAAGATCTCTGAACTCTGTATTTTATGTTTACTGTATGAGACTTTCTACCGAGTACCGTTGTTTCTTTGACAAGCTGTTAGAGCATCTCTTGTTTGCCGGCAAGAAGGCGGCCTTCAAGGCGGTCGATCCCCTTTGCCATTGCAGCAAAACTGTGTGTTCTTTGCCGTAATGTTTCCTATATTTTCTCTTGGATAAAGGCCTTTATTTTTTAACAAGTGCATTTAATCACTCTATGTATGTATAAATGGAGCCAAGTCCTGTCTGTCTTAGCAATTTAAGTAGTAAGGTACTTAGGATAAGACTTACGATTGTACATCATGGGGCCACCTTTATGCATGAAGAATTTTGACACCTGTTTTTAATATGGAAACTTTTACCTTTTGTTGTCTGTCTGCCGGTTTCACATTTTTTATTCATTTTTCTTGAAAAAGAAACAAAACCACAAAGTGTCTGAAACATCTTTTTTGCCTTGTTTGACTTCGTACAGAGTACTGAAAAATACGTCTTTATTACGTGTAATGACCATTTGTACTATTACATGTAATACTGTAGACATTGTACTATTACATAAGCCATTTGTATTTAAGGTCTGTCATTGTAAACCATTGTTTTGAGGACTGAAAACTCAGTAGAAATTTTCATAGGTGGTGACTTGACAGACTTGCTAAATTTAGGATATGTTGAAATTTAGTATACATACTTTAACGTAGGAATATATATTTGCAGCAGTGAGTTTTAATTTCATTCCCACCTTAAATCTAAAGCAGCTCGCTCTTTGTTGTGACTTTGCAGTGCTTGTTCTCCAATACGACTGAGATGGAGACTGTCCAAAATAGCATTTTTCTGGAGAGTGCTCTGCATGTACGCTGCTTGAAAATTTAATTTTTATCCTACTGGGGATAACGTGTAGATGTAAACCAGATGACTTGCATATTGCGGGAATCCTTACGTATTCTCATCACTCTTCAGTGGGAGTAACTTTTGCATTTTGGATGAAGAGACATGCCTAAACGTTTAGCACTCGCATTGTCCCTTGTGAATAATTTTTATTATAAACATTGACCCATTCTCCATTCAAAGTGTTCTCATTAAAATATCATGTATTTTAGTTACCAAAACCTACAGGTGCAGAGCTGGTAATAAAAATGCCCTTCTCTGTGCATCTGTGTGACTGCGTGGTGGAAGAGGATGTAGCTCTCAGCTCTCTGTTACAGCCGTGGCAGATCAGCATCCTGGTTTTAGGAGCAACAGATGTTCCTGCCACAAGACACAGTTTTGTTCTGTGAGACTAAGCTAACTGCACTCCTGTTTTATCTGTTAATATCTCTTGAGTAGCTCATTGGATGTATTATCTGAATTCTGAATCTTGCCAAAATCCTTTGCTTTCAGCTGATAATGCTACCACTAGTAGAAAACTTCAGTAATTGTTAATGCCTTAGTGAAATAAGCATTCACTAAAGAGTATGACACTAAAGCATCTGTCGCTCCCGTGTTGTATCCATTCAGTGAATGGGTGTTCTCCCAGTAAGTGGGGCATCATTTGATGCAAAGCGGTAATGCTAGGGATGTATTTCCAACTGGAAATAACAAATCTCAAAGTTGTAAGACTGATCACACTAAGACTTTTGTGCTTGTGCGTGTGGTTAATTTAAAAAAAAAAATTAAATGTTCCACTTAAGACAATTTTAGAGCTTTCTTATTTTCAGTATTTCTTAAGGCAATGCTTACCTTTTTGAGTCAAAATGCCTGAATTACCATACTGTCAGTCTGATTTCTTGTTTAATTTTTTAATGCTTCGGTAAAATTTGTCTTTTTTTTACTCTCCGTTATTGGGCTACAACATATCTGACACGTAGTTTTCCTTTGCATCACTTCTGTAGATGTTTGTTATGCTGAAGGGAATTGAGCAGCTGAACACATTGTACTGCCTGGAGGTTATGCAGGGGTACATGCATAACACTCAGTGAATGTGCACTTTGAACCCGTTAATTCATCTATTCAAGTTGATAGTTACCAGTTAATAATAGAATTAATTATTTGCACTGTGGAACCCTCTTGTGGGAGTTCAGTCATACAGCAAACTAACAAACATGCTTTTTGGATTCTAGAGACGGTACCTAAGCCCCTACTGCTTTTCTAAATGTAATCGTAGACCTTTGGCTGAAGCGGCAGTACCTGAACACTGGTTGTACGTAAGCCAGAGAGCAAGCGTGGTCCAACATGCTTGATTTCATCAAAACTACCTTACCATCTTTTTGTAGGAAGCAACAGTTGTGCGTATCTTCTTTTTAATGCTCAAATAGCATTGACAGAAGAAAATACTTCTCTCTGTTAAATATGGCATCCAAAACAGGTAATCAAAGTCATAGAAGAAAAAATGCAGCAATGCTTAGATTTAAGATGAAAGGTGCTGTAATAGAGTAAGACAAACTTTCAAACAGTTCCATGTCACAAAAGTGTTCTGTATGAGTCATCTCAAAGCCAGGTGAGTCCGAGTACTGAACTAGACTCATTCTCAGGTTTCTAGTAGTAGGTAATACTGATAAGTAATTTGTGGAGTGAGTGTTCTTTCTGTTTTTTTGAACCGACTAAAGTTGGTCAAAAAAAAGTAAAAATCTGGACCAGGAGAAATACCATTCTCATTGTGAGGATAAAGATGCATCGTTACTAATAAATGACTTACTCTTATTTGCAAGTTCATGTGAATCTGAATGGTTAAAACAGATAATGTACATAACTGTTTTTATCACCGTCGTGATCTCAAGTAAATGTAATATATTTTTAGGAAAAAAGTCAACATAACGTACAGTAAATCCTCAAGTGGAAAAATAAATGTTTGAAACTGAATATTCTGTGTATTCCGTTCCTGTAAAATCCCTACGAGTTAATTCTGCTGGTCTCTTGTAAGTGACATTAGTTGTATCATGCAACTTAACCATGTTTATTTGATTACTGTTTGGTCTGATACAGGTCACTACTTCTGTGGTTACATTAAATTGTCAGTGTATTAAATTTCAAAGAAATGGCTATAACCCTGTAGCTGTGCAACCTGAATCTGCTCGGGAAACTCGTGTGCCTGATTCTAGTCCATGTGTTGCGAACAGTTGGGATCCAAGGCAGCACGCATTAGAGACCCTCAAAGGAACAAGTGTGGGCACCCCAGTCCAACAGAAATGCTGTTCCTGAGCTCTTGCCTCTGACTTCTCCACCACACAGTTCAAATACAAAGTACAGATTCTGTTCTGCTCTTTCTGGTCATTTTATTTTTGATGATTGGTCTGGCTAATACAGTGACAAGGTTTAAGTGAGTGTTCGTAGACATTGCAAGTGGCATTAAAATATTACTAATGTATCAAAGATGCCTGATGCATTTTCTGAGAAGAAACAGGTAACTAGTCACTGGGGTTTTTTTGGTTTTTTGTTTTTTTTTTTCTTTTAGTAAAACAGAACTCACAGCATCTGGGTCTGTCTCTTTACCCGGGTATCTCAGGAATCTGGGAGGCAGTATACTCCTGCTTCCTCTTGCATGCAGTTCTGCACACAGAAGAACAATTTGCTTGCTTAACATCCCCAATAAGGATTAATTAGCAATGTTTTAGGCAAGAAAAAAATCTTAAAATGTGAAAAAACTCACATTTTTATGGTCACGTATTTTTAGGGAAGTGCTTAACTACACTTGAGTGAAGATCTTGAGAAAACTGAAGCTTTGACACTCTCTGGGTGGGGGTTTTATGTGCTGCGCAGCCATATCGTGTTCAGCTTCAGGAAGCCGGGCGGCTGTTGGAGGCGGCTTCTGCTGCCAGCCCCCGAGAGAACCGCTGCAAACACCCGGGTAGCTTCGGGCATCCCTGAGAAAATGTTTCGTGCTCGCAAATGTCCTGTTTCCAAGAGTGGCTTATGCTGAGAAGTGGAGCAGAGCCTTGTTTTATTGCTCAGGAGAGAACGGGAGCAAAAGTTCATTGGTTTTTTTTACACCTTCTTTGTCCCAATTGTCTTCAGCTTGCTGAGCCTTGTCTACTGGGATTTGGTTTTTGACAACAGATAGCACTTTAAAAAAGTGGAAAACTTTAATCTGTTCTTTTGTGGATCTGTTCTGTGTATGATGCCAACTACGTTTAGCTATTTTGAGTTACTTTAACAGTGATACACGTTTAAGATAGCCAGTATGAAGCTACAGTTAGGGGGGGAAAAAAAAAAAAGGTGTCTTTTGCTATGTCTTACAGGCAGGACTGCCTGGAAGAAACTTCAAGGACAGCATCACTGGTTTTAAAATTAGGTTGTTCAGATCTGTGGGATTGTTGATGGATGTGGCACGTCAGTATGCAATCTTAAAGCACAGGAGAGGGCAGCGATGGCTGTATCACAGACCTCTGGGTCAGATAACACAGGATTTAGGAAAGTGGAAGGCAAACAGAAGCAGGAATTTTAAAAATAAAGCAGTAACTTAGGTCAAAATAAGTCAAATCTACACTACCAGTTACAAACTGGAGGTATTTGTCTGTCTCTTGCAAGCACTGTGAGCTGCTTATGAATAGTGCCAAATTATTCAAATTATAAATGGTAATGTTTATGAAAATACAATATACAGTTTATTAATGGTTTTGATTTATTGCCATGATGTCTTTCTTCCCCAAAAGTCTAGTTTGCACACTATGTATACAGCAGAGAAAAGCTGAAATCTCACTATATGACAAAACAACATCAGTTTAAAAAAAAAAACCAGGAGAATTGGAGGGAAGGCTAGATTTTGATGGTTTCTGACAGTTCAGCAGAAGCACAATTACAGTTTGCAATAGAGCGGTATCGACTCTACAGGAGAACTCCTGATAGCATTCTTTATTGCCAAAAGAAAATGCCAATGCTACCAAAACCCATTAAATGCTCGCACCTCACAATCAAAGATACTTCGGTGCGCGTGCATGCCTGTATACGCGCATGCTTGTACAGCGAATTTTTTTCTTAGCTTCTGTGTGCTTTTTATAGCGATTTGCTCATCCTGCGATTTGCCAGAGGTAGCCAGGAGGATAGTTTAATCCTGTTTGCTGTTGCAAGACTGTCGAACAGATGATTTCTGATGCTCCAACAATGTGATTGACTTTTCAGAATTTTCCAAGTTTCTGAGCAGAGTCTCTAGCCGCCTTTTGATTTTCTTCTGATCCTCAATGGCACATCCGATGACCACAGACTGAAATTTCTGATCGATGGGTCCTGCTGGCACGTCAGATGTGCATGCACCGTAAAGCGACATTAAGCGGATTTTGGCATCTTCCAAATCATCTAGAAGTTTATTGACAATTTCATCGATCATCTTCGTGGCGTGCAGTAGGGATTTCTGCTGCTGGGCGTTTCGGATGGTTTCTACAGAAACCTCCACAGTGAGGGTTCGGCCCATCAGACGATTAGCAGTCAAATTAAGTTCTTCTCTCTCACCTAAATCGGAATCAAGAAAGTGGTCTAGGTTACAGGCAAATACTTTCCTGTGCAAATAACATCATCAAGACAATCAGGCTGCTACAACTTTGCAATAAACAAGGCTGGTTTTTTACGTAAGTGACAATCAGCAAGAATTCCAGGGACCAGAAATGAGTTTTTTGCATTTGCCTAAGTCCTACTGATTCCACACTGTCTTCTCATTTGAAATGAGGCATTAAGTGCCACTGAAAATGTAAGCAATGCTTTTCCGCTGCTGACACAATGCTTGCTGTGTCACATTAAAGCAAAGCATACACTATTATCAGGAAACATTACTCATTAACAGAACAGGCACGTTAAGGACCTTCTGTGCCACTGTGAGGGAGAGATTTAGACAATACCCCAAAAGGCCATGAAGAAAAAACAGGTTTCTGACTACCAGATGCAATTAGGGCCCATGAAAAAACTGGTTTTCTATTTTCTGAAAACCTTGCTTTTTTCCTAGAATACGGACACAACATATTTGACATGTAGGCTTTTGAAGAGGCAATAAACCAGCAATTTAAAGCACCTAATATAAAACATACAGATTTAGGGAATGTATTTAAAGCCACATTATCACACAACCATGACAACGATCTTAATCATCGGGTTCTTGCAGGCCATACACTTTGTAGCACTCGTGCCTGTCCAGTAGTCAAAGCCATTAAAATGCTGGTTTTTCAAACTATATTTAAGCATCATCGTTATCATCAACTTCTCTCCCTCAGCTGAGCTGTAGTAACCCTGATTTTGAAAATACATCAGTGAACCAAGTATGGGCTTTCACATACACAGTCGTGACACTGATGGTAGAGCATCCAGCTGAGCAGTATGTGAATTTACACACTCAAGAAAAAGGGGACCCCAGGGTAATGAACGGATGGCCCTTCAGTAACCTTAGCTGGCTCCAATGCCCGTGCCTTCACCAGCAGCAGCAGCAAGCAATGAAACGGAGCCGCTCCCTAAGGCACGGGCTGTTCTGACTTCTTTAGGTCCGTTGGGAGGGTTTGGCAAAGCAGCTTCTCACCTTCGCTGATGTGCCTCATATCCTGGCTGTTCTGTATATTGTGGATCATTTCTAGCAGGATTTCTTTCTCTTGTTCCATAGCAGATGCTGCGTCACGGAAAGCCTCTACCCTGAACATGGTTGAACCAAACAAAACGTTTAAATAATAAAATAGCTGTTCACCCATATAGCTGCCAAGAACCGTTTTTTTTAAACTTCAGCTTAAGAAGTACAGTCAGGTCTTAATTATCCATGTGCCAGACTCTCTGATTTCATGACCTTCTCCCTTACCTTAACTTCACTTTTTAAGACTCAATATAATTTTAAAAAACAAATTGGGGAAAAAAAAACCCAAAGCAACAGTAATTCAATTAGACTTAAATCTTTCATTTCACTGACAGTGCTGTTCTATCCTACTCCGCAGTCAGTCTGGATATCCAGAGCCTGACGGCACTACAGCCCCCTCGCAGAAGTGCTGTGGCTAACTGGCAATTATTATCAGCCGCTTAACTAGAAAAGAAACAGACCGAGTCCCCACCAGGGAACCTGGGGGCGAAGGTTGCAGCTGCGGGGATGGAGGCTGCCAGGGGGCCTGGCTCCCCCGCGGCCAGCAGCGCAGAACCCCTAGGACCCACCTACAAAGCAACAAACGCGCCAGAAAACTCAAACGCTGCCTTGTAGCCGAACGACGGAGGGAGAAAAAAAACGGGCGAGGACAAAGCTCACGCATTTCTATTGACGTGGTGTGGCGTGCCTTGGTGGCTGGGAGAAGATGCTGGGCCGCCTGCCCTTACAGTCACTGGTGTCTTCCATGGAGCAATGCTCCCTGTGATTGACACGGGGAGGAAGCTTCTGTGGGAGCAGCTCCTGTTTCTGGGCTTGCAGGGAAGCACAAAACACGGTTCCTGCCAAAACGGGACCCCTGCTCCAGTCCTGTTCACTGTGCTGGAACTCACACGTGATGGGGTGAGGGCGAGGGCAAAGCCCATCAGAAACTGCCCTCCCTGATAACTACGTGGTCTCGGTAAGCCGCGTGGTTGCGTGCCCATAGTCTGCCCTCCTCCTCGTGGCATAAGGTACAGGCCCATCTGGCCATGGGCGAGGTGAAAATGCCATACTAGAAATACGAGTCAAGTTCCTTAATTCACGTCTCATTCCACCATGGTTTTAGGGAGAGGGCTTTTGCATTCATCTAGAAAAGCACATCTGGGAACTGTCTGCTTTGGAGACCGGGGACAAGAGGGAAACATCCCCCTCCCGTGGCTTTGTCCTGGAGGCTTGAGGGCAGGGGCTTGTAGAGGACTTGCCAAGCTGCAACTGGCTGCAAGAGTTCTGCCAAAAAACGTCAACTCTGCATTCCCAGACCCCACAGAAAAGCAGAATATCGCGTGAACCTGGTTGATGGATGCTTTCAACGCACAGCTCGGGAGGTCTAGCTGCTCTAATCTGGAACCCATCTATCCTGAAATGTTTATTAAACCTAGCCAGAAAAGGGGAAACAAACCAAAACATTGTTAAGTCTCTTAGATGCTCTGCACTCTTCAACGTTACTGGACGCTGCCCCGAGACAGTGGTGGCTCATCATCGCTGCTTCTGCAGCTAAGGGCTTGTCTGATGAGAGAGGTATGGAGCTGCTGCTCCTTCCTCAAAGGCTGGCTGAGGGCAGGTAACTTCAGAAAAACAGCAGTAAGAGAAAAAGGGCAAAAAAAGGCAGAATGGGGGCATTTAAGGATATAAATAGTCACACTTCACATGCAGCCTGCTCACGAAATGGTTCTGCTTTACAAAATATTTAGCCTAATTTAGTCAGTGAAAGCACAAGCTTCGGGCCTTGCCTTTAATGTTCATTCTGAGGAGGAGTGGGAAAAGTTAATGAAATGCAAATTCTTGCCGAGAGCGAATACTTCTAATTATTATTTTGGACTGGTTAGTAAGAGCAATGAGGCAGGTGGAGTCACTTCATACTTCAGATGTCTGCACTTTATAATTTAGAAAGTCTAGCAATATTTTCATAAATGCCTTGCCATGCCTTTTTAAAAAAACTAGTGTTTTCACAATTTAAAAAATGCATTGTGGTCACTGGAAAGCTTCAAATTAAAATTTGGAAGTAGAATTTCAATTTTAATAGTGTTTTTAAAGTAGACTCAGTATATCAATTGTACTGATTTAAAAACTAAAGGTCTGCCTTCAGCAGATGGATCAATCCGTGATTTCCACAGGCTTTGCTGGGTCCCGTGAAGAATGTGGAAAAACCGCATTGCAGAGATGCATCCTGAATTGGTGCAATTCAAAAGAGAGTGCCTAAAACATCACTGCTTCCAAAAGCGCTACTGGTATGGGAGGTAAGACCTAAAAGCCAACTTATCAGAATTAATGATTGTATACTGCAAAAAACCCCCATAATTTACCAACTAGAGCTTTGATTGACATTATTTTACAGAAAGTCACATAACCAAATCTTAAGAACTATTTTATTTGCAATAATTGCTTCTTGGGAATTATTTTAACCACTTTTTCAACTGCAATACCGAGTGCCACACAACTAAAATCCACTGGGATTTTAATTTTAGTGTATTTGCTTGCATAAACGGCAGTCAAAATGAGCGCCTACCCCGGCACCGCGTAACGGCACGTGAGGGAGGCACACCGGCTCCTGTGCCGGGGCAAAGGGAGAGGGAAGCAGCACGTCAGGACTCTCCCACCCCTCCGCTATCCCTTCTAAAAACTTCCATCTTGACCAATTATGAGCAGCGTGACAGGACTAAATAACCCTAAAAAATAAACTCCTTGGCTTTCAGAGACCTCTCGAGGGCAGGGTGGAGGCACAGTGTGGTACGACAGCACACCGGCAGCAGAGGCAGCACCTCAGCAGCCCGCCAGCGGGAGTTACACGCGCGAAGAGAAGGAGCGGGGAAATGGCCTGAGAAAGGCAAGACGAGGGAGCGGAGGAAACAGCCAGCTGCTAGGGACCTGGATCGCACGGAGGTCAAAACATCGGGACAGGATCATTTCAGAACAGCGCTCTAGGGGGAAGAAACCAAAAAAGAAGGAAACCACTCACACCAGCCTCAGGAAAATAGTTAATGCTCCAGAGAAGATGCTGGGGGGCTTCATCAAGGTGCTATTTCGCCGCCTCATGCTATTTCGCCACCCCGGCTTGTACTAAGGCGCTGGGGTGGGTCCCGCCGGCTCCTCCCAGCCCCCAGGCCACAGCCCGGGAGAGACCCCGGCCCCGGCAGGGACCATACACCTTTCTCTCCTTATTCGCTGCAAGAGCATCAGGTCCACATCTCGCAGTCAGCTCTCATAACTTCTTTCCTAAAATGTGCTTTAACTTCATAGGTTTGCGTAAATCTTTACTTTCTCGGGGTGGGGGACAAAAAAAAGAAAGATTGGAAGAGCTAAACCTCTAGCAGAGGTGACTGCCATGGAAAAGGGTGGAAACGCAGTCCCAGTCTCAAAAAACCAACCAAGCAAAGAACAGAAGGCAAAGAAAAGAGAACACAAATACTCGTATTTTATGCCCAATTATGAATTATCTCGATATAGCAGTATGATCTTTTTCCAATAGAGGAAAACATCCGATCATATTTTTACTTGGAGTGTATTTGTTGCTTTGAACATCAACTAAATATTCCATCCATTACCTAAGACTAAAAAAACATTCCTTACTTCTGATTTTCCCCGGTCCGAGAGCCATTAGCCGCGCAGTGCCTTTCTTTCCTACATACCATTCACATGAGCAGAGCATTCCCCCGAGGAACAGGTGGGCCAGCCTGCGCTTTTGTTTCCACGTGAGCAACTCGATACCCGCTTTCCTATGACAGCTGCAATAACTCCGTCCTTTAAACTACTGACTGACTTAAATAGCTGACTATTAAAGCTGGTGCACTGGAGGTGCAGATAAGTTTTCAAAGGAAGTAAGAAACATCTGAAGACAGTGCAGCTTCTTCCCTGAAATGGAGCTGAGCACACGGGACGGAGACAAAGCGCGGGGGGGGAGTGGGGTGGTGTCACCCCAGCACCCTCAGCTGCTTGAGCTGAGTTTCCGTTCTCAGGTGAGCGGTCCCATGAACGTACAAATGAATGGTGGGGGAATACGGTCGTTCCGAAGGAGAACAGGAGAAAAAGTACAAAAAACTGAGATTAAAAAGAATAAAGGTGATTTTACACCTCATGTATCATTACGCCCAGCCCTGCGCTTTCACTCAACACAACCACCAGAACACGGTGACTCTGGTCCCGCTTCCAGCTGCTCCTGAGATGTCCTGGCATTCGCCAGTAGCCAGGGCAAGACGAAGGTCCAAGCCCTTACATGGGACAAGCGTGCCACCTGCCCCCCTTGCTGCCCCTGCCGGGGGGCTCGCTCCCTGGCAGCCAAATTAATCCCCCTTTTTCACTTCCCCTACAGAAGAAAGTCCCTCCACAAACACCTAGCAGGGAGGTACAAAAATACCCCATTCTGTGGGAAAAGCAGCTTTCGCGGTGGAAGGGAAGGGAGGAAAGGGAAGGCTGTTCAAACCAGAGCGTTTCGAAGGGATGAGGGTTGCCTTGGGGTTCGGCCGACCTTAATGAGAACTGAGGATTGTCAAGGGGTTTAATTAAAGGCTGTAGTTCACTTTGACAAATTTTCACTTATTATATTTACAAGCAACATCTCGAGGGTCTATAGCTAAACTAAACCGGCTGGAGAAGGAAGAAGTGTGGAAGCTCTTCCTCCTGTCATTCAAATAACTTTGAAATGAGGCATGTTGATTAGTTGTGCATGGAAAAAAAAGTAAGACTTGAGTGACTTTAATCAAAGCAGTTTGACTCTTTTTTTCGTAACTGTTCCGCATTTAGAACTATGCCTGTTTGAAAGACCCACAGCAAACTGGGAAGTTTAACTTGGGGTTTAATTTCTGGTTAGCCAAACCGCCTGATTTGTTTCAGAGTCGCTCAGCAAATTTAAAACACATTTTTGCATATTCTGATGCTCATTTTGTGATTATGTATTCATGCGCTAGACCTGGATGTGAGCAGCGAGACTTGTTTGCAGACAGTGATTTTGTTTAGTCAAATTCACAGAAGTCTGCGAAGGACTTCAAGATTTAATCAAGCTAAGTGAAAGGCTAATAATAATAGCACATAAAGTCCACTCCTGAATAATGCAAAGTAATGAAGGCAGAAAGGGGAAAACGCAACTCCTGT